CATTCAGTTTTTTGTTTACGCTGAAGATGGATACAGCTCATTTGGAAAGAGACTGAAAAAGTGTAGACTGCATTAGCAAATGTTGTGTTACATCTGGTGTCATGAGTGAAGTTTAAAGACAGTTTGTGTGCACATGTGAAGGATTTAGTATATTTGATAATACGAAGCTTGCCTGTGGGACTAAATGTTGTTCTGTTTGTTGGATCTTTTGAACAATTTTGGTCTAGGGTGAATTAAGTGGAATGTTTCCACAGATCATATTTCTGAAATCTGAGGAATTAACTAGCATAACTTTAATTAGCTTGTGCTTTTGAAATATATTGTTTACTTTATACAGGATCCTGTAAAATTTTACCATTCAAAGATAAAGTGCCAAAACATGCTGGTCAATAGTGGTTTTGGGCTTTAACATACAAGATTTTCTGTAGATTCTAATCTCATATTTGATACAATTCTGAGGAGGAACACTAGTTTATTTAAGCTTCCTTCTGGCTGGCCAGGCTTCATTCAGGGCTCAACAATCAAGGTTTCTTTAGAAACTCAAACCTGAGCTAACAACCAATAGGTAAGGACACAATTCAGTTGATTTGTTCTCACTGCAGATACAAGATGTCCTGAGTCCTTGGAAGTAGGCCATAACAAGCAAGTCAATAAATAAATAATGAAAATCAACTACTGAAAAAAATCAGTCAATCAATCCAGCTCTCTATTTATAGCAGAGATTTAAATCTTTCATCTCTTTCTTTCCCTGTTATAGTGTAATGGACTTCTTGTGCTCATTTCTCACCCTTGGATCTGATGGGCACTGCACTATGTTTTGAAAACAGTCCTGTCCAGTCTCGGATTCTGCTTTCAGTCTGGCCAGTTTTAGTCCTCATACTGAAAGCCAAAATGAACTTTGGGTCACTTGTGAAAGTTAATATTTACTAGGGTTTGAAAGTGGTTCTTCCCCTTCCAGTGGACTTTGGTCCAAATCTATTTTCTTGTTCAGCATCATTCTGTTGTAAGGCCCAGGTTTAAATAGTTGTTGCAGCTGCATTTTAAAAACAAATGCAGTTTTAAAACCCTTCCTAGCTTTACAAGATGTTTTGGTATAGATGGTGCAATCAAGCAGAGAACTTTGGCTGGCAAAGTGTCTCAATAAGATCCTGTTATCATTGTATCAATAGCTGGTTTGTGCCAGTTATTCCAAGATCATGAAATGCTGCCATATAGAGGCCAATTCTTTGAAAATTGTTGGAAAATTGCCCTGGTATCCACTTCAGACAGGAAAAGCTGTTTCCTGGTTATGCACCACAATGCTGCCAAAATAAATGTGTGTTTTTCTTTTGATTCCTCAAAGGATCCATTTTTCTTCAACCATCTTTAGGATTTGTCCCTGAAGGGCAGGCATAAAGAGTTTAAAATAATTGAAGGGGGGGGGTTATTTGAGGGTATTGTGATGAAAAATCCATTTTATGGTACAGGCATTTTTTTATTTTTATAAGAAAAATAAAATACCTTTTTAAAAAAAATCTCAGACCAAAAAGTTGACAATAAACATCACTTTAAACTTGAGTAATCCATGACTGTTTATTAACCTCAAAAGAGTTAATTTGGCGTGCCTCTTTTGACAATATACTTGAGTTTTGAAAATGTTGAGATATTTATCTAACGCTCTATATCATTTTATCTTCTACCTAAAGAAATTAAAATAACATTCTCCATCTCTTCCAAACACCTTTTTATAGGTTAAGGTAAAAGATTAAATACACACAGAGGTACAGTATTAGCAGTTTCTATAAAAATCTGGGAGAAAGGACATAGCACTGGCTACTCCTGGAAGAGGAAATTAAACCTTTCTAACATTACTCTAGAAACTATAATGGGCAATATCTGAAATTACAGAGTAAATTTTGAAGAGGCAAATGTTTTGCATTTCAAAAGAACACCACCATCTGAGAAGAGCTGAATCATTGTGAGAAAAAAATAGGTTGTCCATAGATCCAGCATTGTTCTGATTTTGTTACGTTTGGAATCCAAAGATCCCGTTGCAGATATCGTTACTAAGAGTTCTCCAGAGGCCGTCACATACTGGCTTCTCCTGTTTTTCTATGAGTATTGCTTCCTGGAGACATCATTGTCCCAATGTCACTTCAAACTGTGAGATGGGTGGGAAATAAATTTGATAATAATAATCTGGAGATAGCAGAATAGAAGAGCAAGAACTAGAGAAGATAACAAAAGACATAAACCTGCAAATAGAAAGACTGGCAAAAGAAAACAAACGTAGTACCAGTCGTAATAGGTGCCTTGAGTGCAAGGTAGGGAGCACTACTTGAACACCATCGGCATAGATAAAATCACTATCGGTCTATTGCAAAAGGCAGCTTTACTTGGAACAGTTTCCATCTTGCGACAATACCTTTAATTCTATCAAATGTCCCTGTCTGCCTATCCCAGATATTTGGGAAGAACTTGATAGATGGATAATAATGCCAAATCCAGTCTGGACATCTGGCTGACTACAATGAACCAAAAATTATCATTGGATTGGGCAGCAAAGATAGAATTAAATTGAAAAACAAAATTTCATACATCCTGTTTCTTGGAGTCACATACATTAGTACATTTTCATAGGAAAATGTTTACTCTCAGGCACATAAGTGGAAATTCTGTACTGAGTTCTCTGCATTGTAAAATAGAATATTGCCTCTTAACATGGCCACATGTTTTAAAAAGTATTCCTCCCAAGCTTTCTTGTATTCAGTCACTGATTATACCTGTAGGCTGTATTTAGCAATAGTCAGTAACTGCTTTAAAAAACATTTTTAAAGAGTTTGCTGATATCAACAACCTTAATGTATTTCTCTAAACAAAGTACAAACGCATTGCTAAGGAAACCAGCATTATCACCGTTCATCCAGCAATATTTTCCATCTCTAGATTTCATTCCAAAGAAGCTATTATTCCACTTCAGATTCTGTTTCTCATTTCTTTTTATTCCACTTCAGCTTCTATTTCTTTCTCGTTTCTATTTCTTTCTTGCTGCTTAAGAAAGGCTTGAATACATATTTTCTGTTGGGCATGTGTGCATTTGTCTGATAGTTTCCAATTAGTCTCTTTCAAAAAGCTACAATGAGGGATAGAACTGAGAAAAGATCACTTGTAAAAATGGAAATGAATACCATTAAAATACCTATATGGCCTCTTGGACACCATGCTATGTTGCAGCAGTGTTTTTGTAATAAGGAATGATGAAGAAAGATACATTCTGAACAATCATACTGTATTTTATTTAACACCGCTCCTCCTGATGAAGGCTGTACAACATTAAACATATATATATTTGTCTGGGGAAGGCTGGGGTGGAGATATTGGAAGCTTGACTGTAGCTGCAATGTAATGGTTAACTGAACAGGGTAGGGGGGGTGGGGTGGGATGGGGTAAGTTTAACAAGAATTAAAAAATTTTAACAAGAATTTTTTCAATAGGAAAAAAATACTACCCTCTAGACTACAGGTACATAGTTGAGTCTCCTAGCATTTGTAGTTGACTGAGTAAAAAAAAAAGGGCCAGAGCAGTGAATTTTTAGAAACATTTGCTGTTATTGAACAGGTACATTCATATAATTCTAATAAGCATGATTGAGCTATTAACTCATCCTCCACTGCATATGGTGCTCAGAAGTCTTAGACTCAACCTGACTGAATTTAAGATATGGATGCTATTTTGGGTTGGCAGAAATCAGAATTGGAAACAAAAGCTCGTTCGAAGTCACAGATTCTGGTATCTGTAAATAAAATGGCAGTAGTATCAGGTTCGAACTACAGGATAAGCCTAAGAATCTGGTTAAAGCATCACAACCATGTATGTTTGCATGTGTGTGTAAGAAGCCATATGCTGACTTTGGGCTGAGCCTTATGTAAAATGCCATCTTCTTCAGCATCCCAGCCTAAACTCATAAAACACTGAATTTATCCTATAGACCAGTGATGGCAAACCTTTTAGAGACCGAGTGCCCAAAAACTGCCCCCCACCCCCGTCCCCGCTCTGCCCACTGGGCCGCCCACCACCCCCACAGCCCGCCACAGATCACCCAGGCAGCCCAGCAGCACCATGGCGGCTATAACCTCCACCCGTGCCCCGCATCATCTGCGCGCAACAGGACACAAGGGCAGAGTCTTGTCCCTGCTACCCAGCTACCATGTCCTTGGCTCCGCTGCATGTGGGCTGCACCCAGGGGCAGCTCTCCTCTGGGGGGTCTGCTGGTGAGGAGGGAGCCATGGGAAGAGGCGGGGCTGAGACAGTGCGTGTGCCCGCAGAGAGGGCTCCGAGTGCCGCCTCTGGCACCCGTGCCATAGGTTTGCCACCACTGCTATAGATAGTGGGATCACTTATACTGGATTTCCAGGGGCTCACCATCAAAAAGACCTTCACATATAACAGATATTTGGCAGATGAAGATGTAAATGATTGGACAGCCATTTGCCCAGGATGCAATAAGGTCTTTTGCCTTGGGCAGGATATTGAACTAAAAGACCTCCAGGGTCCCTTCCAGTCCTCTATACATATAAATAAAGCCTTTAATCTCCATCTCCATTATGCTTCAAGTAGCTTCCTACAGAACTGCAAAAAAAAAAAAAAAAAAACCACCCTTTCCTACTTGGTTGTTTATAGAAATGGGCCCTTCTAAATGCTCATGGAGGGACATGAGGTTTCTCTGACGTACTGCCGAGAGACATGAGTATTTTTAAAGTCAGATAAACAAATAAAAAGGAAATGGGACAAGTGAAACTGCCCAGACATAACTAGGGATATTTTTATAATCAGGTTGTATTTCTCCTATAATATTAATATGCAATGTGCTTTCTCTACCAATCATGTTTCACAGTCAGATGCAAATGTGCTGACAGATTACCCATTCAAATAAATTCTTTCTCCTACCGCACTGTTGCCATGGAACACCACAATCTGATGCACATTTTCAGGAGGAAACATATTCAGAGGTATTTATATAGTATGTCAGTTCAGCTGGCTTTCCTCCCAAGCAGAATTCAAATAAAGTGACATAGATTTGGGGTTTCTAGATTGAAATGTATTTGTCAGGGTTTTCTTGTCTTATGAATAGGTCATACGGTACTGCTACCATGGCTACTGTGATAAACAATATTTACATTCAAGGTGGCCAAATGAAAGAAGGCTCCCTTCAAGGTAATTTCACTATTGGAGCTCTGGTTTGTAAATTCAGCAGGAACAAAAGGCAAAAAGGCCTAATAAGTTTTGCATGGATAGATTTTCTGTTATTTTTCATTGAGGCAGAGATGCCAATTTCTTCAGGAGCTGAAGGACATATTGGATTTGGAGTGGACACGTCCATCCGATGGTTTCCTAAAGGAGGAAAGAAACTTTATATGCCTTTCAAGGTGAATTCCTATCTCCAAAGGTAAAATATCTGCTTATTCCTAGAAATTATCTAGCTATAGAACTCTTTGTTAAAAAGTATTGCATATTATGGTTCTTATGAGAAATTGTTGGCTACTGTTCCCGCAGCGGAATATTTTTTATGCCAATTGAAAAGTCATAAAGTATTTAAGCTGTCAAATTCTCTAATCCTTTATTTTAAAATCTGGTAATGATTCTGTACAAATTTGTACACATTGTAGAACTATTTCATTACTTAATGTTGATACAAGGATATTAATTGCTTTCTTGGCCAGGCAACTGTGGACTTCATTTTATATAATTTGCTCCTTTAAGATTTATTAAAAACAAAAAAACCAAACACTGGATAATTTGCATTTGTTAACATTCTCAAAACAAACCCGATCTTGCTGCACTTTGGATATGGTCCAGATTAATTTTCTTAAGCAAGTAATGAGTGAAATTTTATTAAATGGACGAGTGCTTATTATCAACTGCCTAGTGTGCAAGTTACAACAAATCAACTGATTTCAGATTCGAGTTACAACATGATACTCATCAGGGTTGCCCACTTCCTTGTGGCTTTTTAATTTAATTTTAGAATCCTCAGCCATTAGCAATTGTAAATTGCTTCTTGAATCCAACAGTCTATCTGCTTTGCTTACAGGTATTTATACTGCTACTCTGAAGCCCAAAACAGACGTTTTGATAAACATTCAATAGTAAGTGACACTCTTTTCAGAAGTAATTATAAACTGACAGATTCAAAAGCCGCTTTTATTCTAAAGATGTCAAAAGGAAAAAAAGCACAAAATAATTAGCAAACAACACACACTGCAAATATATATATCAGTACTTCTTTTGTTTTTTGTGCTAGATCTTGTATTTGTTTCCTAGATAATGCAATAATAAATGATGCAGTCTTTCAATTCTGTAATACAACCCTTCTCATTTTTTTGTTAGATTATACATATTATTTAAAATCTCATTTAAAAAGTAGTCTCATCTTTTCTTTAAGAATTTCCATTACCCAGGCACACAGTCATGGCCTATCCGAAAGAAATATTTTTCTAAGGAAATGTTCAAACCAGGTAAGCTATGTTTATATATTAAAAAATCCAATGAAAAAGCAATTTAAGTAATATTTATTCATAATATCCATTTGAGTAGCCTAATCAATGCCAAATTTAGAAAATGTAACTGGTACATAAGACTAATATGAGAATAATTCCAAGCTCTCTGGTATAAATGAATAACAATAGAAGACAAGAAAAGAATCTCATTTCACTGGGAAAACTCCATTAGGAATTGTTGAAAACTTTATATATGTTGTGTCCAATTTACTGGAGTGGCCTATGCCAGTTGATTTTCTATTGGTTTTCAAAGGTGAATAATGAAAAACCTTCCCTGCACTTCAGCAACTACACATAGATACTTTCAGTGGTGGGATTCAAATATGTGAACAACCGGATGCTGCTTCTGGAAGTCCATTCTCGGCCTTGGCAACAAAAAATTGGCTACCGGTTCTGCCGAAGTGGTGCGAACTGGCTGAATCTCACCACTGGATACCTTCCATTAAAGAAACACAAACATACAATAGAAAGGAACTAACTCTTAAAGAATGATCCAACAGAGAATCTTCTGCCACCTTAACAAATATGTTATCACTTACATGTCTTTAAATTGCCATATTATATTTTCACTGCAAAAGGGTAACACAGCTATTTGTCTATGGAGCTTGTCAGTCATCCAGGACATGGTTGTCCCAAAGATGCATTTTCAAAAGAAGCCTCTTGGATGAAAAGTGAAACATCTTCAAGCAAAAACAAAGCTCAGTTGCCTTTTGAAAAAGCACCTTTGGGACCACACAAGTATTCTTTTGGCTTTTGTAGTAAATTAAGAGAAACCTAAATATTAATATTTTAAGTATTATATATATTTTTCCAGTTTCCAGAAAACCAAAAACAGTACTTTGCCGTTTATCCATGTTCCCAAACCCACATAAGGCCTCAGGTAGAAAAAAGTTGGGCCTATGGTACAGATATCATGTGTCTCAAATCACAATAAAAATGTCACTAGCAAGAGTATTTTATACTTTGTCGGTTTGCCTTTTGGCCTTGCATGGAATACCTAGGAAATGTGTGAAATATTAACTGTTTCATACTTTGACATCCCATTTTTGGCATTCTATAATTTTCTCATTCTACAAAATGCCAAATTTCACATATTGAAGTTAACGTATATAATAAATTAGTAATTTTCTTTTTAACCCGATAAATTCTTTATCTCAAGAAGTCACCCATACTGACATTTTTGTACCGTGTACATTGATTTGAATTTCACTGATCTTTCAAAATTAATAAGAATCATTTAATCTGTTACCAGATGAAAAGACAATCAGGAAAAATCAGCAAGAAAGGATAGCATCCCAAAATGGAAATGTTTCAGCTACTACAGTGCTTGCCAGTAAAAGAACTATAAAGAAAACCCCCAAACAGAAAGCTGATGCAACCAGATCTTCTTTTTGCACCCTGCTGTAAATATCAAGGAAGCATAATTTCAGACACAGACGGGCACAAAGACCTAACTTGTGCCTTTCACCCATACTGTAGCCTGATTGACAACCACAGGATTCCTGATAATGGCATTAAATAACCCAGAAGTCCAGTTTTTTTTTTCCAGCAGGCCTGAATTCATTTGAATCACCCTATGTGTATTTGCCTAGAAGCGTGTCCAGGATTGCAGTCTTAACTCTAATTTGCTTCCTAACCAGTAAGTTCCAAAATGCCATCTTTTCCTAATAAGGAATATACTGCCACCCCCGTAACGTTTTCAGAGGCAGAGACCAGCATTGTGCCCTTAATCCCCAGTGAGAACGCTCCAGAGGTCAGGACTGAGGAATAAAATTTTGGATTTATAAAAAAAAAAATCTTTCTCTAATTAATAAATCGCAATCTGATTTTGCCACATTCCCAGCGGAATCGGCTTTCAGCCTCCGGGAGTCCCCGTGGTTCCTGGCAGCCACTTGGGAAAGCAGCGAATAAGAACCCTTCAGCCCGGCCCGATCCGCTCCGGCCCTTCCCGCCAAATTGCAGAAGGAAAGCCTGAGCGAAGGGGGGGGCAGCGCGCAAAAAGTCACCCTCCCTTCCCAAAGCGCGAAGAGCGAGCCACGTTCGTTAATTTCCGGCGGGCACTGACGTCACATTATATTCCCGCCCCATTCTTGCGGAGGCGTTCCCACTCTCGACCCCGCCTCCGATCCACCATTGAGGAGGAGCGAGGGACGTTCTGACGTCACCCAATCCGGTGTGGTGTTTTGTCTGGTGGAAAAAGGTTTGGCGCCTTCTCTCCCCCTCCCCTCCGCAGAACCCCCGCGTGCGCCTGCGCATGCGCCAGAGACCGAGGTTTCCGGGCCACGGGGAGAGAGCCAAATGGAGGAGCAAAAAGAGAACATGCCGCGACGAGAGCACACCGGGGAGGAGAACGCGGAAGCCAGTGCGGCCTCGGTAAGTGTTCCTTCGCGACTGCGCAGCCGTTTCGCGCTTGGCGCCCAGAGACGTAACCGTCCCAGCTGGAAAGCTCCTTCCGTCAGCGGTCGAAGGGCTCAGAGCTCCTCCCTTGCCGAAGGAGGAGCAGCGGCGCGAGAGAGTGGAAACAATTGGACCGCGGCGGGAAAGCGTTCGTGCTTCCTGGGGAATCGGGTCTCCCGCGGAATCCTCTTTTGCCCCGCTCTAAATTGGCTGCGGAGCGATTGCATGAGAGAGCCAGACGGCCCAGGGTCTTTGAAGAAGCCTTGCGCTTATAAAGGGTCCATTGACTTTCGTCTTCCCAGTTGCACTTTAACATAATAACCAAGATGGATCATTGCCCAAAGGAGGAATCTGTGCTAAAACTAAGAAACCCAACCTCATGACATTTCCAAGAGGTGGTGGTGGTAGCATTACTAATTAAAAGGTGCAAACATGTTTTACATCTTAATATTTTTTAAAAAAAAAAAATAGTATAGGCAAACAAATGACAGTGCTTTGCTTGGACTGTTAGTAAAAGGGACAGTGAGGCAAGCTGTTGTGTTACCTGGAAATACCCAATAAATCTTGCAGTGCTACAGTACTAGAAAAAAAATTGTGCTACAGGTTGTTTACCACTATTGAGACTGAAATGTATGTTGCTAAGTATACATTTATATTACTTAGCAATGGCAATTCTGGCAATCCAATTCCGATTGTAACTCCAGATGCATGGGCATTAAGTGTGAAATAGCAAAAGCACTTGGATTCATACTTGAGAAAACTTTTTCATAAGTGTCTGTAACTGTTAAATTATATCAGCCATATTTTGCCTGTTCTTAACTGTTGACCACTAAAACTCATCAGGATGTTCTTCTACTATAGTTTCTATAATTTCCTTTGCTGGTATTTACCTATTGACTTTAAGCTTAAAAAGGTAAAAAAAAAAAAAAAAAAAGTAAAGATTTCCCCTGCCCAGTCATGTCCAATTCTAGGGAGCGATGCTAATCTCCATTTCCTAGCTGAGGGAGCCAGTGTTGTCTGAAGATGCTTCTGTAGTCATATGGCCAGCATGACTATACGCCAAGACACACAGAACACTGTTAGCTTCCTATCAAAGTGATACCTATTTATCTACTTGCACTTGCATTCTTTTGAACTGCTAGGTTAGCAGGAGCTGGAGCAAGAACAGGAGCTCATCTCGTCACATAATACCTGGGTCTCGAGCAGTCAACCTTCCAGTCAACCAAGCCTTTAAACTTAACTATCTTCAAAAAAGAATATAAGAACCCATAAAAAATACTGTAAAGAAGGAAAGTGTAGCAAGTTAAACACAGATGCCTATTGTATGTTATTCACAATTCTAAAATTTAAAACAAAGTAATATTGCCTTTGGGCCTGTTTTGAAATGTTGCTAAATCCCTTAACAGAGTGCCATGTTGATAACTAAGTAGGAAATTTGGGTAATTGATGGGCCATGAACAAGATTAGGCTCACATAACAATTATAGTAGCAGGTTCCTTTCTTTAAAAGAGAATGCATTTCAAAAGCTGGATGTTAGTAAGAAGTGAATAAATTGCACATCTCAGTATAAGTGAGGGCTTTTTCAATATAATATTGTGATCACTCCTGCCTTTGGACAATTACCCAGTGTCATTGTTTCTAGATAATGTTGAATAAAGTTATTCAAGCTTTTGAAGATAAAGACAATTATAACTACACAACCTTTTTTCTCATCATACAGCCTTTCTGTCAGAGTAAGCAGTGCTGCCAGTTTGATTTTCAGGAAGAAAATAATAAAAAATCTAATTCAGGTGATTTCAGCGATCCAATCTACAAAGAGATTTCTCTGACAAATGGTTATATCAATAGAATGAATAGAGAAGAGCTGAGAACTAAACTTGCTGAATTCAGACTTGACACCAGGTAACCAACCGTGTGTGAGTGCATACATTTTCTGATGTATTTCTTACTACATGTGTAAAGGTGGAATTAATAAAGTCACCTCTTGTGGATCTTTCTTCTGAGATGCTTTTATCATTTGTAGAAGGAAGACGCTCTGTACATTATGGATAGTTATTTCTGCACAGAAGTCTATCATTGGAAGAGTTTGTTGGCAGAGAAGGATTTCACACTGCAGAGTTATAAACAGATTCTTCAGTATGAAATCTTACACAAAGTTGCGATGCTAGAATTTGCATTATAGCACTTTATAGCTCCCTGTATCTTCAGCTAAAGGGGTGAACTTTTTAGAAAGGCTCGTCTGATGGAAAAAAAGAAATTCAAGAATTCAATGACAATTGAACTAAAAAGATTAAGAAAATCTTATGTGGAAAAACAAGGAAACCTAAATAGTAGAAGAGTTCCTTCTTCATTGAGAAACATTCCTTGAGGCAGCTGTCTTCCTAACAACTGACTCCTAGGCAAGGAAGGCCCCTAATTGCCTGCTACCATAATTGCCTCCCAGAGGCTAGTAAAGACCTGACTTTTCTAAATGGTGTTTGAGGACACAGGCCTTTATACGTTTATTGTTTTATATGTACATACAGTATATAGTTTTAGTGATTTGATGTCATCCCAAGAATTCACTTGGACTGAGGCGGTGAATAAATTGCATACCTAAATTAAAGTTGGAACAAAGAGAAAAAAAATACTTTGTGATTGGTGGTGGTTTAGTGATAGAATGTAGGCTTCACACCCAAATTGTCCCAGGTGTGATTCTTGGCATTTCCAGGTAGAGTTGAAAGAAACTCTTGATTGGCCACCGAGAATTCCCTCTCAGCTGTAATTGACCTTACTGGGGTTAGGTGGAATTGTGGTTTGATTTTTTAGAAGATAGCTTCCTGTGTCAGTTATGTAATGGCATCACAATTTTTTTATATATGATGGTTTTTGTAAATAGCATACATGACAGTGTTCCTTCTATTCTCTGCCCTAGAGACTGTTTAACTTACCTGAAATATACATGAAGGAATTACTTGATTGTGCAGAAATACTGTTCATGTCATTGCAAACAACTTAAATAAAAACTGGAATACATTTTGTCTAAAAATAATGTCATAAATTTCTTAAAGGCATAGGGAGTTTTATAATCCTGTTAAATGTGTCTGCTCATGTTTTATCTCTTTCTCTGGAGAATTAGACAGTAGGAGCAACTTCCTTTTGAGCCTAGTTTGATGCAAGCAGATCAGAGTCGGTCATTCTTGTCATTTCTGTTGGAGGAAGTTATTAAAAGCAGGTTTGGCATTAGGAGAAATAATGTCCAAATGGATTAAGAGATGCTACATTTCTGTTCTAACTCAGCAGTAAAGTACTGGCCAAAATTGTGGAAACCTTTTGGGAAAAGTACATTTGAGGTTTGATGGCTAATAACACCACTTTCTTTTGGAGTAGTATCATACAATTATATATCAATGGAAAGATAATTTAATAAAGAATGTAATGCAACACAGTTTGTTTAATTACCTATATTCTATGAAAATTTATAGCCAAATAACCAGAAAAAGGAAGCACAACTTGCTTAGATTGATATTAGGTAGCTTTCTTTCATCTGATTGTAGCCAATGAGCATGAGTGTTTAGAGAGCCAATCAGGTGTCATCTTGTTTTGGCAATGAGCCAGTCAGATCACAGTAGGATTCAGTTATTGGTGTTATGTATTGAAGCTGAGAGGAGGACGCTTGTCAGTGTGTTATGTGATCGCTATCACATTGGTTGGGGTTTTTTTTGTATTCTTTCATTTAGTGAGCTTGTAAAACATAATAAAATTAAAATAATGGTGCAAAGAGTTGACTGGTCGCCCAGAAAGTGATGTAAAATAGTATTATTAAGTGAACAAGGCTACAATTATAAAGAAATTAGAAGAAAAATTGGTGGAAACTTAACCAAAGGTGGCATTTCTAAGTTTTTGAAGAGGTATAAGGAGACTCAGTCACTACAAAATCACACTGGTAAAGGCAGGAAAAAGTGCACAACAGCAAGTGATGATAGAAGAATTAACAGACTGTGCCTATGTGACAGAAGAAAATCATCTGGGTGTATACAAGATGAAATGGCTCAATGCAATGTGAAATTGAGTGCAATGACTGTTTGGCGTAGACTGCAGGAATTTGGCCTAAAATCTAGAATTCCACGAAAATAGCCACTTTTATCTCTCAAAGGTTGAAAAGACTAAACTGGGCTAAAACCCATGTTACCTGGACAGAGGAACAATGGGACTGTTATTTGAGTGATGAGACCAAGATCTCCCTGTTTGGTAGTGATGGCATAAAATACATAAGGAGAAGAATCGGAGACGATTTGCATCCTGATTGCATTACATGTACCGTGAAACACCCAGTCAGTGTTATGATCTGTGGTTGTATGACATCAAAAGGTGTGGGCAGAATTTGTGTGATTAATGGGAATATAAATAGCCAAAAATACATTAATGGAATACTTGAGCCCAAACTGAAGCCTTCCGCACATGATTTTTTCCAAGACAATGAAGCATTTATATTTCAACAGGATTCAGCTCCATATCATGTTGCTGCTGTGTGCAAAAAGTGGTTTCAAGTTAATCATATTCTACTGCTGGAATGGCCTGGGAATAGTCCAGACCTTAACCCAATTGAAAATTTATAGAACTGACTAAAGAAACTTGTTAGTCAGAAGCGACCCAGCAATAAAACCCAGTTAATAGAAGCAATCATTCAATCTTGGTTTCACATTCTAACAGCTGCAGAACTAAAGGACTTGGTTCACTCCATGGCCATAATTCATGATAAAGGTTACCCAACTAAGTATTAACTGACATGGTAATAATTTTTGTATATCTCGTTTTTTCTATGGTGATGATTTTTGTATATCGTTTTTTCTATGGTGATAATTTTTGTATATCTCGTTTTTTCTATGTGTTTCACTTTTCTTCTTTATAACTGCTATTCTAATAGCAAATCCTTCATAAAGGTTATTGCATTACATTCTTGATTAAATTATCTTTCCATTGATATATAATTTTATAGTACTACTCCAAAAAAAGGGGTGTTATTAGCCATCGAACCTCAAATGTACACTTTCCCAAAAGGTTTCCACAATTTTGGCCACTACTGTATAATAAAATATCCTAAAAATAATCACTAATTTTTTTTTAACAGAGGAGTAAAAGATGTATTAAAAAAGAGGCTGAAAAACTACTATAAGAAAGAAAAATTAATGTACAAGCAACCTCCAAATGCAGAAGACTACTACAATTATATCTGTGTTATTGACTTTGAAGCAACTTGTGAAGAAAAAAATCAGCCAGAATTTATACATGAAATAATCGAATTTCCTATCGTTTTACTAAATACTCAGACGTTACAAATAGTAAGTATTTCTGTCCTACTTGATTCCTGGATAGTTTAATAAATTCATCAAAAGTTGAGATTTGCATTTTAAAAATAGATAGCGAAGCAAAGGTATTACGCTGCCTTGTATGCTATCTGATCAACAAATTAGGCAGCTTATAACTCTGGCTGGCATAATCTTTTTTAGATCTTGAATTATATCCATGAGAAAATAAATACTGATACATGTTTGCTACTTAATGTGAAGGCATTTTGTACAAAAAAAAAAAGTTTCCCTTTTCTCTTGCTAAGTGGAATAAGCAGAAGTAAATACATGGCTAGATTCTCACAAGTAGATAGTTTGGGAAAGAGAAAATGATTTTGGGTGAAAGACAACAAAGAATGGTCCAAATGCCTTTCTGTGCTACTCTTCTGCTCTGAATGATAACATCCTGAGGCTGCTTTTCAATTTGTTTTTAAGATGTTGAGTCTAATGTTCTGCAGGTATATAACACCGATGCAGTTGCATATCATACTAAGTCATAAAGCTTAGCATAAATGTGTATACTCATGCTCATTAGGTTTCTGCTGTGGAATGTGGCTAGCAAGTTACCTATCATTTGTTGTTTGTTTAGCATTAAGCATGCTGTTTCAATATGGGCTACATTCCTAGCAGAATTGGTTGAAAAAAGGTTTTGTGGAGTAGTTTATGGCTATGCTTTGATTTGTTTTGACTGGAAATAGTCTAGTCTGCATGCTGTATTTACACAATAGGCATACTAATTAAACAAGGTATCCATGGGTGGTTCATTAGCTATGCTGGTTTGAATAAGGAATCAGCAGTTGTAGGTACGACGTTAAATCACAGATTTATCCCTATGGTATCAGATGGGGCTTTCTGTGTTTCTTGGTTATCTTCTCACAGCTGTCCAGATACAGTGCCCGTAATATGCTTTTCAAGTATGTAATGACTGTAATATATGTATATCCTTCCTTATGGGCTACTCTGTGTTACAATTCTTGGTGCACTTTGTGAACCTGAACCTGAAGTGGGAGTTGTAAAAAAGCCCTTAGCCATGGCAGCAGGAACAGCAGAATATCCTGCCTAAAGCCCACACATGGTACTGCAGTACTTATTGCTAAGGTTCAACCGACCTTATTATGTTTGACTGATTGTTATTCCTTCGGATTATGTAAGGAGCAGCTGTTCTGTGTTTTGTCTGTATCATCATGAAATGGCCCATGTTTAACTTCAATTTTGTAGGAAGACACTTTCCAGCAATATGTGAAACCAGAGATTAATCCTCAACTCTCGGATTTCTGCATTAATTTGACGGGAATCTCTCAGGTAAATAGTCTGTCACACACTACACTCATTAAACAAAACATTTTTTTTAAAAAAAAGAGAATGGTTTAGGCACTAGATATAATCCTAATACCTCACTGCAAACACAGCATATCAGTGACGTAGGCTCAGATCTAAGCTTCCTGATTTCTCTTTTTCTTTATAGATATATTTCTTTTAAATCGGTACCACAGGCTGTAAATAAAGTGCTTGTCTTGTGATAAAGAAATGTGTAGCTATTCTATAGATTAGAATTCTGAGTTTCTCTGAGCAAAACTAGACACTGTTTCTAACACCACACTGTTAGCAATCACTGTTGATCATACCTGATTTGGCTGGGTCAGAGGCAAAACATAATAATGTCCAATCGGTGCTCTATGCACTTGGACAACCTGCTTGTGCCATCAATAATGTGAATTGTTTAAATGGTACATTTACTGTTTAGAAGAGGATGGTATACAGATAGTCCTCGACTTACAACTGTTCATTTAGTGACTGTTTGGAGTTACAACAGCACTGAAAAAAGTGACATGGCCGTTTTTCACCCTTATGGCTGTTGCCGCACTCCCGTGGGTCACATGATCAAAATTCAGAGACTCGGCAACTGATTCATGTTTGTGACAGTTGTAGTGTCTCAGGTGTCCTCTAATCACCTTTTGCGACCTTCTGACAAGCAAAGTCAATGGGGGGATCCAGATTTGCTCTGCAGTGTAACAATTGCAGTAATTCACTTAACTGTAATAAAAAAGGTCGTAAAATGGGGGAAACTCACTTAACAACTATTTCACTCAGCAACAGAAATTTTGAGCTCCACTGTGTTCGTAAGCCGAGGACTACCTGTAATATTCATGAGAGGTCTACCTTGATGAAGACCGCTTTATTGCTTCCTCAGTGCCAGCTGCAGGAATAATGCAAAGACTGCTTGTGGGTAATTAAACCTCAAACTAGCTACATTCTTAATTGCTTAGTAAGTTGCAAACATGCGTTTTGTACAGCACCAGAAAAATATATGTTTATATATTTTGGTTTGTAATGGTTTGTTAGATATTGAATCTGATATGGAGCAGTAGATATTTTAGATGCTTTTGAGATAAAGACCTTTAATATTGATATTAACTTACTATTGCTTAAAGTCTTTTTATATATATTACAGTTAGGCTCTGTGGAGCAAAGAAAAAGAAAAGAAGGTTTTGTATCATAAATTGCACCTTTCTTCCAGTTTTCCAAGCTGAGAAGGGTTGGAAGAAGAAGGAAATAATAGAACAACCAGAAAGATAGGATGCTTGACAGGCTGCAGGATTTTCTTGAAGAAAATGCAACTTGCAAGAGTCGGATCCAGGAGATCCCTCCCTTCTTGCCCCTCTCCCAGCCATTAAAGAATATTAGACATATGCAGATACTTCAGTAGTTATAAAGACATTTGTATTTTCTCACTGAATGTAATAAGAATGAATATAGGGTATTTTGTTGCATTAATAGCTATTGTGGAAAACCAAAAAGGGTGTAGTAGATTTTTAATAATACGACTTGACAGAAACCCTTTTATATTATTTTCACATTGTATAATTAATACCTGAGTTTCTTAATATACAGTAATTGTATTTTCATTCCTAATATTTCTAGGAACTGGTAGAGAAAGCTGATGAATTCCCAAAAGTGCTGCAACGTGTTGTAGACTGGATGAAACAGAAGGAATTAGGAAGCAAATACAGCTATTCCATATTAACAGATGGGTATGTATTGGGGAGAGAGGTACATATATGTTTAGCTGATGAACCATACTTATTTTTTAATTGAAGCCATTAAATTATGTCAGTGTTCTTCAACCGTTTTTTAGCTTTGACAGGGTTGCATTTCTGGAGTCGTTCGGTTTGGTTGTATTTGCTACGATAAGCTAAATAGGATGTTGTGATTGGAATGTCAGAATACCTTGGATCTTTTCCCTGCTTGTCCTCTGGTGCTGACTAGAAGAAATACGTTCTGTTTTGAACAGGTTATAGCAAATACACTTTGATTAAAATGTAGAGCAGGGGTGTCAAGCTGCCGGCCTGGATGTGTCATGACAAAACTGCACCCACCCCATTGCCGGCAATGGAAAAAAAGTAGCGATACGTCACGTCACGTGATGTTGCAAGTTTGATATCCCTGATCTAGAGCATAGTATATTACAACTTGTTGAATTCAAGAGAAATAATCTGCATAGGTTATTAACATTAAAATTCATACATGAACATTGAAGTCAGCTGTTTTATTCAGTACCTATGCATCAGGGGTCTTCAAACTTGGTCCTTTTATGACTTGTGGACTTCAACTCCCAGAGTTCCGCAGCCAGCTGAGGAATTCTAGGAGTTGAAGTCCACAAGTCATAAAAAGGGCCAAGTTTGAAGACCCCTGCTATACATATATAGGGGATTATAAATATGCTAATTTTTCTCTTTGACAATGAAAATAGCTAAATAATGACTTATTTGCAGAGTGCATTCATATAGCTTTGATTATTTAATGTTTGGACCATATTGTTTACATTTTAACAAGAAGTATCATGAGTAACATAAGAGAATAATAAACTACCAAATCACAGTAAAAAATTAAAACTAATGAAAGACATGATCAACAAAATGTCAGAAAAACACATCAAGAGCATGGCATAAGACAATATTTCCATGAGAAAATTTGGGCAAATAAAATTCTTGGTGCATATTTGGACCACTGAAAAAGGAATTTAACAGTAGGTGTTGCCATAAATAACACTGTTGGGCTGTTTGAGATTCAGGAACTCTAAAAAATGGATTTACAAATTGTCTCAGAAAAATTGGGGAAATACCCAAAGGAATATCCAAATAATTTGCAAAAGAAGTTTAAAAGAACTTCCCAGTGAAATTGGCATTCTTAAAATGGGATTTACTTATTTGTTTACTTATTGTTTATTAAAGGTCCTGGGATATGAGTAAATTTTTAAATATCCAGTGTCGTATTAGTCGTCTGAAGTATCCTTCTTTTGCTAAGAAGTGGATTAATATCCGCAAATCCTATGGAAACTTCTACAAGGTTTGTTGTCTGCTTGTTTCTTGAATCATTCAGATTCTAGTTGAGAAAAGCAGAAATTCAAAGATGGGTTTATAATAATTGACAGGTTAGTGAATTTATGCATATGCTGTGGCTAGGACAGTGATGGCAAACCTTTGGGGCTTGGCATGTCAAAAAAATCAGAAAATGCCTAAGTTCATTCTGCTGGTAGGTCACATACACACACTGAACAAAAGAGAAGCAATTCTCTATTTCCCTCCACCCCACCCCCATTTAGGCCACCCTGAACAGTGGCACTTGGCATCAGCTCTAACGCTGGACCTGGAGTTGAGGTCTGAACCTCAACTTCAGCCCATATCATTGCTGCTACTGAAAAAGGTCACCTTGCATCTTTCCCATTCTACAGCCTCTGAAAATTGTGTTTCTGAAAATCATTTTTGGATGTTGATAAATTCTGGCATAAATGCTGATGTGTTACCAAAAACTTTGTTATCCCAAACTTTGACACGCCTGTTACAGGTTTGCCATCACTGGGCTTGGAGAACTATATAACGTTTTGGGTAAAGATTGCCCCTACTAAGATCTATATGACAAGTAGGATATTTTCTTACACTGCCATTTATTAGCCCTTCTGCAACCCTTAAATGGGATGGAAAAGGTTTGCCTTCTTTTTTATAGTTGTGGAGTCGTTTTAAGCAGGGAAATGGATGCCTAAGCATCCCTCCCGTTCTGGTGATGTCAGCAGATCACTCCGTGTAACTTTAAAGTACAGATAATTCTCAGTTACTAATGACAATGGGCAGCAACTCCATCACTAAGTGGTTATTAAGTGAAATGTTATGTGATTGTGTGGAACTTTTGATGTCAGTTCCACTACAGTCATTAAGGGAATCACTGCAGGTCCTTAAGCGCAACATCATGCTGGCTTTTCTATTGACTTTGCTTGTCGGAAGCCAGTTAATGAAGAGCCCAAATGGAAATTGCTTGACTGTTGGGCACTGTGACCCACCGTAAATGGGCCCTGGTTGCAAAATGCCTGAATGGCAATCACATAACTGGGGACACTTCAGTGCCCACAATTTTGAGCACTGGTCATAAGTCTGCTTCTTTAGCTGTATTGTAACTTCAAAGTCGATTAAGTGAAGACTATCTATATTGAAGAAAACCATGTAGATTTTATGAAGGAACACAAAACCCCTGCCTACCTCTGCTAGATACTGCACTTATGAAGCTCAGAATCTGAACGTTGCTTTTTGCTGCCCATTCTTGATTTTTCTAGAACTGCAGCAGCTGGAACAACAGACCTATAAACATTCTTTGAGACAATGGGCATTATTTGAAATGTGAGAACGAGTCCTGTGTGCTCTTATAACATGGGCACCTTGAAGGACATGGCCTGTTGTAGAAGATCCCATTGCTGAAGGGAGACTGGTTCTCTTGCTCCCCACTATCCTTCCAGGATATGCTCTTAATTTCCCAGCTTTACATTTTTTTGTCTTCTTTGGTGCAAGTGGATATACTTTCAAATAAAATCCTGGGCTATAACTACCCATCATTTTTGTTTTCTAAGAATGCCTAAATACCTGGGTTGGTAACAGAGACGTTCTCAGAAACAAAAATGGGAAATGGTTTGGTATGCTGAATGTTGTACTTTTATTTATTTAAATTAAAACAGTTTACTTTAAAATTAGACCCCTTCATGTAGAAAATCCGCTGCACTTCAGAGCATAGGTGGAATATGGAAGAGCCCATTGCCATCTCACACATATGTGGGAAGGATAGAATTTAGAGCAGCTAGTAATGTAGACAGATTGATACTGCACTTCTCTTCTGTCTGCCTCTACTCAGAATGGTTCAATTCATTTTCCAGGTTCCTAGATGCCAAACAAAGCTGTCAACCATGTTGGAAAAACTTGGGATGGACTATGATGGACGGCCTCACAGTGGGCTGGATGATTCCAAGAATATTGCACGAATAGCCATTCGAATGCTTCAGGATGGATGTGAACTCCGTGTAAATGAGAGGCTGCACGGTGGGCATCTGCTAGCAGTCCCTTCCTCAACTCCAATAGAGGGCGCTCCAATCCCGCAGATGCCCAGGTTTCGATAAATATTAGGAAGCCAGTTACCCTGTCTTCAGGCCCATATTCTTGGTATTCAAAAGCCATTTCAGACAGCTGAGTTTTTTAAAGAAGGCTCTATCCGCAGTTTAATCCCTGGCAGAAAAACACAGGTCCCAGAGCATCCACTGAAAGCCTCTCTTTTTAATACTCTATAAATTAGTCACACTGAGTTTCATTTTAGTTATCCAAGCAATCTATGCACTTATTAAAATGGTTTTCTCTGAAGTAAAGTCAAGCAGAAGTGTTAACATTTGATCTGAAGATTTTTAACGTCGTTGAATACCATGGGGAATGCATCTTTGCTGATCTTTTTTTTTTACTGTTTAATGTACCAGAAAGATTTATTTGATTTCATGTCACAGTGACCAAATTGTTTCCTGGTATGTGTTAGCTTATCTGGGTTTGGTAAATTCTTCACAATGGGGATTTGTTTTTTGTTTTACTTTGATCTTCCTTACCCAGTTAATAGAAAATTTCAGTAGTAATACTTTTTTGATGTATGTATTGATGTTCTAATCTTGTTGAGAAACCTATTGAGCCAATATTAGTTATCTTTTAGCCTCATTAAATTCAGATAGCAATTTAAGCATTTCATTACATTTCTGTTGAAATAGTGGAGATGTGTTTAACAGGATAATTGTGCTTTTTTCTTTCCATTACATATACAATAGCATGACGTAACTTACTTTGACATCCTTCCCCCAGCACTGCTAAAAGAAAAAACAGAGAAGCAAATTATTTCTGTAATCATTTAAGCTTTAGCATGGACTCCATGCCAGCATTTCATTCGTATGATCAAAGGGAAACAAAGCAGTTCCCCTAGAGATTATTATGCCAACCTTTGCGTTGATCTTTCAACTTATTTTTGAAAGGTTTGCTTTAATAAATACAACTTATGTTTTAATGCTCTGAACCATTATATAGCATGGCACATTTTAATATTTATGCACAACTGTTAAAGATTTCGAACTTCAAATTAATTTGTTATATTTTGCCACTTTTGTGGGAATTCTGCTCAGATTTGTAGTCCAGAATATTCTGAGGGAGAGGATTACTGATTCAGATCAACTAGTGACCTCAGGTCTAAACAAGATTTCAAGCCAATTTTTTATCTATTATACCTCATAGTGGCTGTGTACAATTTATAGTTTGGCATTGTATGCAGCATTGGTTTTCTCCTAAAAGCCCATTTTGTAAATATTCTGCTTTCTTGTAATCTGTCCAGAGTAAAAGTGAATAATGATTTGAAATTACACTTTCTCCTGCAGCCTGCAATCTTAATATTCTTTTCTTCTTTTAACACTTTAAATCATGTGTGAAATCATTTCTACATATTTTGTTCATGGAGTTGGGATGGTTTTGAAAGACTATGACTAGTTCACAACTTGTTCTAAAAAAATAGGTTTGACTATTTTATCAAACAACGTCAGTCTACATTGTTTATGACAGAGGTGAATCCAGGCTATTGGGTGAATCTAGTAAAACTATATCAATTAGTATGTTGTATGGGCACAGTTTAAGATTTTATGCTAGGTCAACTTTTTTCCACTGCACAATTAGTTATTCATCTTCTGGACACTTTAAATATCACCTTTTGGGATACTATAAAAGTTTATACTCTTTTGAATACAGTTTGTATATTTTTACTTTAAAACAAGGTTTCAATCCACTGTAATCATTTGTATTTCAATTTAATGTGTTATATCTGTAATAAAGGTACTTTGTAATGTCGTCCCATAGCTCTTTGCCCATTCAAAAATGGACTATGGAACAAATAGAAATTTTAGCTGATTGTTGAGGCTGGAGTTAAGACAGTGGACAACACAGAAGGACCTGCAGGGGCTGCATTAATATCTCCTCCTGGGTACGCATGTATATTGGATAAAACGCTGGAAATAAGTTATGAACATTTTAGTTACATATTGCCAAGCAATCACAAGGGAGATTTCTCCAATGCAGAAGCCCTACTTACTGATACATTTTTTTGAATTAGGTAATTAGTGTGCTGCATGGCACACTGACTGACACTATCCAACCAAGTTTGACCTACTTATTGCTGCATTAAAGATGGATTTAGTAATCTTAATCAAATTAAACAGAGGTAAGTATGTTTTGAGAACATAGCCATTGACTACCCCAACCATTTACATGGATTTTTTTTTCCCCACTGAATTTTTCATTATTCTTTGTGGACTTTTTAGAAGCAATTGATTAGCCAATATGAGAAGTAAATCAATCTTTGGTCAGCTTCAGCAGGACTTGTCTTCGTGTTGTTTTATAATCACCACATTCTTGAATGAAGGATATGGTGTGTTGCTGGATGGAAACACCAAAGGAGAACAAGTTGAGAAATTTCAAAGAATTCTGATATGGAAGATCAGTAGAACAAGGCTAATAGATTGCAAATGGGATCAGCTAGTTGAGTATATTGTGGGAACATAGATTTAAAAAAACAAGTTTGTTCAAGAATAGCCTTGCTTTATCTCGTTAATTTGTTACAACATCGTTATCTCTGAACAGAATTCAGCCTAAGTTAAGTAAGGCCCATTAATTTCAGCAACAGAACCGTTAAGCGTATATTTAAATCTCTCAGGGGAACCAGTGGATGTAAAGATTTTAAAAATGGACTAAACTGTTAAAACATACTACAAACAATCACACTGAGCCAATGGGAACAATGTTTACATCATATCTCTTATCAGTTTTGTACTATTTATATGCACTGATTGGATCTCCTTTAGATCCAGATGGGAATTTATATCTGGTGTGCATCTGGATTATTCGGTTTCATGCCCTTGTAAACAAGGTACTCAGCAATAGAACAATAAAAATTTTTTCCAACCCAATAAAACAGTGCTTAAAAACAATATATTTTAAAAGTAAAAATTGTTTCAATATAGTAAAAGGAAAACAGGCAATATAAAATATCTAGTTCTGATTAATTGCTAACTTACAAATCTCTGACACATCTTCCGTTGTTTTCTGAAAGGACAATATGGGAAGAGGCTAGGCCAGGGGTAGGCAACCTTGGCTCTTTTATGACTCGTGGACTTCAACTCCCAGAATTCCTGAGCCAGCTGGCTCAGGAATTCTGGGAGTTGAAGTCCACGAGTCATAAAAGAGCCAAGGTTGCCTACCCCTGGCCTAGGCAAACTTTCCTTGGGAAAGAATTCCATAATTGGTGAGCTACCACTGAGAAGGCCCCAGTGGTCATTGAACTCAAGCCAATCCATCAGTGGGAAAGCAAGTAGTGCCTCTGCTTTGGATGTAGATGCACAGATTGGGGTGATGCTGTGCAGGGGTAGTGATAGTCATTAGGACTTTATAATCCCAAAGCATCACCCACCACAAATACACTGACTGGATAGTAATGGGAGTTGTTAAGAAAGTGACAGGAAGGAGCCAGATCAGAACATAGTAGTCTTGCTTAAATAAATAAAATGTCATGGTTTTTCAAGAAAGATTGATATGAAATAAGATACAGAACCCACTTAATGATTTAAACATTTCAATTTTTCAACTACGATACTTGGTCTTAGGACAGTGCCCATAACTAAAACCTTGGAAAAGCTAAATGATATATTACTGAATACAGTTAGGATGCGGATAAGATTCTTATTCAGCAATCAATGACCTATATTTGCCATTCTTTCTAGAATTATATTATTTCAGGAATAAGCTGCAAACCTAAGTATCTCCCAAACCTATGCATTCTCATTTGGCATTTGGCCATTTTAATCAGAAGTTCTGCTTGAAAAATTGCTTTTTAATGGCAGTATGCCTCTGTACAAGGATATAGAAACAATAGGTTATGTGTTGCTCTCTTGTTTGTTCCGTCTATTGGGATTTACATAGAAAATATTCTCATGCTTGCTGTACTTTGTTTTCCAGAAGAACATTTGGTTATGATATGTTCTGTCTCTTCTCAGGCACAATTAAATCTTTTGACGATAAAGTGGCCTGGATTTTTTGGTTACATGGGAAGATTTTGGCTCATTTATTGTCATCATTCTGGAGCTTTTGTGGACTTAATGATCTGTGTTGGCCTTATTTGTAGGTGAAATAGTGTGAGAACTCCTGAATATGCTGATTTGGTATTACCATTAGTTAGCTTTGTAATTAATATGCTTAACTATCCATGATATCTAGGACGTAATATACTGAAATCAAGTTAGGAAAATAAATAGTGATGACTTCAACGTTAATTCACTAACAGATTCTGAATATAACACTCAGTGCATCAATATAACATTGTTACAAAAGCAATGCCCACACTAGGGATCAGAATGTCTATTATCTTATTTGGCTCTGACAGAAGAATTGCCATTCTGTGATTTTTGTTGTTGTTGCTGGGGTCACACTCTTCCATTGCCCTCTACCGGTGAGCTAATGTAGGTCATGTGTTGCCACTTATGGGGCAAGAAGAAAGAAAGACTTTTGGTTTAATTTTCTTTTGAATTTTAGACTACAGTACTGTGGTACTGTTCCCTAATGGTTCAGTTTCTATATATAGTTTTGCATAGTTTCTGCAGAAGTAAAATAATTCAGCTTAATATGCTGTCAAACACGTTTCTCTTTTCCTGTGCTTATCTAGCATACTTCAGTCTGCTTCCTCCCATTGTATCAGTTTCAGTTTGTTTCAATTTGTATTGTTCAAAGGTTCTGATGAATTTTCCGAAGCAGAAAATATTCAACTTAATTTGTTTGCGAGGACATTTCTCTGTAACTGAGAAGTGTATTAAATCGTTCCATTTACTCTCAAAGGCATCTACTCCTAACTAAGAAAATGCCCCAATATGAAAATACGTTTTGCAACATTGCAGTACACTTCATTACTAACCTCGTTCCCTTTAATAAAAATATTTATTTTCATAAAGATTATACTTAAAACAGTTAATAACTTTTTTAAACTTTAAAAACTAAAACGTGAGAAAAAAAAGGCAATCTCACCTCCCTCAAAATGCAAACTAAAAAAGAAAGGAAAAAAAACCCTACTCTTATACCTAGTGCAGGGGTAGGCAACCTTGGCTCTTTTATGACTTGTGGATTTCAACTCCCAGAATTCCTCAGCCAGTAAAGCTGGGAGTTGAAGTCCACAAGTCGTTAAAGACCTAAGGTTGCTTACTCCTTACCCAGTGAATACTGTTAGTATAATATGATCATTGCAAAAGATTGTAAAAATATCATAAAGTCTCTGCCACAGTAACACCTATTGCTGCATTCGCCTCATCCCCTTCCCTGAAAGATGTTATGTCCTGCTCTTATTAAAGGCCAGGCACCTTCCAGCTAAACAGGATTAATCTGGGCATTGCCACCAAAATCCCAAAGAGGGACATTTTAGTGAAATATGAAATATACATGTTTATCATTTGAAAGTAGCTTCTAGTTTTTTATTAATAAAACTCTAAACTATTTTACCATATTAATTAATATTTTCCAGTCGTTCCAGGGGTGTGGGGGGAAGAATCAGGAGGCCACATGAAACATTAGTTTGGCATTTCTGCTCAAAGAACCACTACTCTGTACCTTCCTTCTATTTTGCGTTACCTGAAACTGGTCAAGAGAATGAAATCTGCTCATCCGTGGGAGCTATGTCTATTCTGTTGCCTTGAGCTCCTAAGGCACAGAAAACCAGCAGCTGAAGTGAAGGAACACTTGAGTTTGAGGATTAGTGCCAGTTACCAGATTGTAAGCCACCGAGGGGAAAAGTTTTAGGTTCTAGATGTCTATGGAGATTCTCAATCATCCAGGTCATGGTTGTCCTAATTTCCAGACTACCAGCTGCTTGATTATATGGAGATGTCCCATAAGGAAATATCCATTTGAAAGGTGGATTTACCATTTTATCATATGTGCTTGAGTCTACCCTAAATCCACATTGCATGACTTTTCAACAGAATTTATTCTTACACATTTGTTTTTCTTATTAGCAATTTTTTCTATTCTTGCACGTTTGGTGTTTCATTCCTAGGACATTTCATTTGTGAACTGGATCTTGTAAAGGCAAGATCAAAACATGTCTTATTAGTTTTGCTCCCTGGAAAATATTAATGAGCTCTTATTCATCACCACCTACTTCATCAGATGCTCAGGGTATAATGCTGAAATTTATACACCTATACACACACATCTCTAAGTATCTAGATATCTTTATGAGCTTATGCGTCTGTTTGCACACACACTTGTATGTTCATGCCTCTGAATGGGAGACTATAAAAGTGCAGACGACAGCACCATCAACTAAAGTATTCCAGATTTGTTGCTAGCTGCACAGAAACAAGTCATACTGGTTAGTCTGTCTCTTTGTCCACAATCCACAAGCTAGTTCTCTCCTGTTTGTTTTACAAGAAATGGCTTGAGTATGGCTTCAGCTTCTGGGTCTGCCTTTTGTGTGCATTCTTCTGAACGTTTGCTTTTCTCCTTCTAGAGATATTTCAGGAGATTAGCTAAATTGATTTTATTTCCTGCTGACAGAAGTGGTCCAACTGGGGCTAAACCCCCCCCCCCACCAGCAGATATTATCAGGGGTGTCAGAATGGGAGAGAGGCCTAACCTACATAGTGCAGAAACTTTATATACTCAGCTGAAATGAAGGGAATTTCTGCTCCTGCTACTAGGATTTTCAAGTACACCTAAAATATCACTGAATGAATGAATGAATGAATGAATGAACGAATTAATTAATTTCTCTAATTTTAAAAAATTACTTGGAGATTCAACAAAGGTTAACA